AAGGAATCGCTGTGCTTTCAAATGAAATAATCATTTTGGTGTTTGTCTTTAACAGCCTCTTACTCTTTTTTTATGACATTAAAAAAGCTTTCCCCTTTACACAGAAAAATAACAATTTAATCGTGATTTTTAAGCGTTTCTTATTTACAGGGTTTTCTCATCGTGTTTGGGTGACATGTTTCAAACAGCTATAAAGACCCCCCTAAAAACACAACCCTTAATTTAATTTAATTTAATTTTTATCTAATGTTCAAAAACATTTGCATAAGAACCGTTTTTGATTTTTAAATTTCCGTTTTTCTTTTTAATGGCTGGGTTCTATTAAAATTGTGGTGAGAGTGGTACTCGTATAACCGTGCAGTCGTGTTACTTCAACATATTCTCGCCAAAAGACTACAAGGCATGGAGATCCTGCCAACCACCAAAAGACTACCAAAGTAGTTCAAATTTAACAACAACATCAATATTTATTTGGTGAGCGTCAGGAATCTTTATTTAAGCACGGCTTTGGGGTAACGCTGGAGGCTTGCGGCGCCACGTATATTAACCAAATGTTTTAATTTTTTGCTGGTGGAGAACAGCAGCTTGTGGTAAGTTAATATAGAGATAAAAGATGAAGGGTTTGCTGGCGAATTTGGGCCTTCGGCTGGATTACAAAAAAAAACACAAAAAACACAAAAAACAAAAAACAAAACAATAGCGTCAAGAATCAGCATCATTGGTTTCTCCAAACTAAAGCGTAATTTGATCACGCTAATTTCGATATGTTCCGGCCTCCTTCCTGAAGAAATCTGCTAAGTATTTCTGTTCACCCTGGATGGGATGCTAGTCCATCGCAGGGTTACCCCAGCATTAAGTTCGGCACCCATTTATACACCTGGGTGGAGAGAGGCACTGTGAGAGTAGGGTGCCTTGCCCAAGAACACAGCACAGTGTCCCCGGCCAGGGCTCGAACCCGGACCGCTCAACCCGAAGACGAACGTACTAAACATGAGGCCACCGCGCCTCCATCCCCTCCTTTCTCAAGAAAACTGCTGAAGTACTGTTGTGTTAATCAAACAGTTCTAGGCCAGAGCAGTTCAAGTGAGACGGCGACCGGGAAACTTAGTCCAACGCCATCTTCAGTATTGTCCAACACTGTACCAGCTACGTCATCTGCAGTATTGTCCAACTCTGTACCAGCTACGTCATCTGCAGTATTGTCCAACTCTGTACCAGCTACATCATCTACGAATTTAGGAACTGCCGGTACTATATCACCTACTACTACCCTGCTCACTACAAAGCCCAGCGAAGGACCGACTGGATCAACTGAAGTACCAACTACACCTTCTCAAAGAGGAAAGAGTAAGTAACAGTTATGGGCGGTTGAAGAGGTAGATGTTTTAAAAATGCCCCAGAATATTTTCTTTATGATGAATTAGCATAGAATCTATCCTCAGCTGTAATTGTACAGGTTTTGCTGTAAAATACTCAAAACGCTCTGAATCCAATCAGGAAAGTTTTTTTTGCAACTGGAATGGACTTTTTCTCTCAATGTATACTCAGTGTAGTTAAAAAAAGAAAGCAAATGTCTACCAGCTAAATATACTTAACGTTTAGGCTAATAAACAGAATTAACATGCTCATAATTAATAGTAATTGGACCGAGTGGAGTACAATTCGTCACGTAATAGGCGCGCGATCACGTGGATGTCCAATTACAGATATCCAATTTGAACTTTTTGTAATTGGATACCTGTAATTGGATACCCACGTGATTCGCACGTCAATTATACGCGCTTTAATGACTTCCTTCTCATTGTTTCCTACAGTTTTTAAAACTTATGAAAATCGCCACAAAACGTTTGCGCTCAAAAGAAGTTCTCAAAAAAGCACTTTCAATTCCGAAATTTGTTTTAGACACGATTAATTAGTAATTAGACCCCGTGTCGTACAATTCACGGAGCAATCGTGCTTGTAATTTCAAATCGGCCTCGCACTTCGCGTTTGAATTGTACTCCACTCGGTCCAGTTACTATTACGAATTGTTCTCCACTCGGTCCAGTTGGCATTTTTCGTGACCCTGTCACTCTACCAGTTGATAAACTTATATTAATTATGATAGCTAATTCGTGTAAGCTGTTAAATTTGTGGACAACAGTTTAAACTTTATGATAAGCAGAAAACAATGAAAACTTCTTCCAGCTAAGTCTAAATTCTCTGTGATCATAATTCAGTCTTCCAACAAACCGAAGTACTATAAATTTCTTTCTATTTTAACTGATCATGAGACCTTTGCGGGTGAATTGTAAAGAGAATTTCCATGAGCCGTTAGTTGGGATTTTCTTGCGTGAAATGTGTATGATTTTTCACCTTTCCACAAAACGTGCATGAGTCTCTTATGCAGCCCTGAACCGACTGACATACAATGAGCCTGCTACTTACGCAGACATCCTTTTGGCTCATAACACATTCCTAGCTAACGTTCATTAAGGGAGAATGCGTTGCGCGCTAAAAGAATGGTTGCGTAGGCTAAGTGAAACGCGTATTTTGACTTGGTGACCATTAACACCTGTTACTATGTTGATAATTAACTTATGGATGGTTTTTATTTTGTGGTTAGAACAAGATCTGGGATTAGTCATTACCATAGCCTCTAATGTAGCCAGTCTCCAAACAGGGCCCTCTTTGGCTTTTTCTACATAAACGTTTTTCATTCGACCAAAAATTTGGTTTTTTCAAATTCTGAAAATTTCCAATGGCGAAAGATACAGCACTTTAAAGCTGATTGCTCTGAAAGGTAAATTTTTCTTAAAGTTTCTTAAAAGGAGGCAACCTCGCAAGGTATACCTTGATTTTTCGAAATTATCTTCCTGGAAACTTCCGAACCATTCGAATTTGCTCCTTGATTTTCAACAGTTCTTGTATTTTCAAGAAACTTTCTCAGGACACTTCCTTATAATTCGCGAACTTCCGTTCGAAAGTTTGGCCGAATGGAAAGCTCCCAGGCCGAATTTTATTTGATGATTTGCATGGTTGTCTCACTGAAATGTGTACTGATATAGACTGCTGCTTTATTGTTAATATTATTTCTTTTCTTTGTTCTTGTTCAGCATGTGCCATTCTTGGCGTTGTCCTCGATAAACCTTGGCAAAAGGACCATGGAGATCAATTATCAGACACATACCGGAACGAATCTCACGCGTTATCGTCTGCGGTGAGTAGATAGTATAATTACTTATATGCCTTCCTAACAACCGACTTACCAGAATTTTTGTTACAAGTTTAGAAAAGAAAACATCGTCTGTGTTAAACTTTAGTAGTTGACTATCTATCCCTCGCGAAAGTATTGATGCGTCAACTGTTTCCCCGTTATACGTACGAGGGTTATCGCTCGCGCGACTGACTGTTGGACTTGAAAGGACTTCACCACGGATACTTTATTTTCACGGTGATAGTTAGGCAGGAAGTCCGGCTCTGATTTTGTCGAGCGAGAAGCAAAACGACGATAACGAAAAAATGGCCGACTCGTTGGTCAAAGAGAGAACTTGATATATTAAGTGTTTTACAGGACAGTCATCTTGAAAACAAGACAGGAAAGTGACCTTTTGAAACCAATGGTAAAGAGATACAGTTGTTACACACATTTGGGCGGCGAATATCACGCTGATTGAAACAAATACCATATTTTAAGGTCAGATTTAGCTGTAGTTCTTGGTTTGGAAATCCGTCGTTGCACATCTTGAAAATTCAAATTTGGCGCGCTTTAGAAAAGCTGAAATCAGACATTGATAGCGAAATTCTGTTCGATGGGTTTTTGGCTGTATATAATTTTATCGCTGGAGGGCGATTAAACTATTAGGACCACTGTGATCACATTAACTTACGTGAGTCTATCACGCCAGTGTTTCTAACAATATACATGGAGTTATAGAGATTTGCTGACTATTAGAGACTGCATGAAAAGGACAATGCAACAGACCAACTTTGTCCCGAGCTGTTCAGTTTCCGAACTGGCGGCACGTCAGAATATTGAACGACTACGACGTATAGCGATTAATTTCAGGAGTGGCTCCGACCTCCGAATGAACTGAGAACGAGTATGGTTAGCTATTTATAGCACCCCGGTTAGTCTACTTTTAACTCAGGTTCGCCTACTGTTCACTCTGTTCAGCCTAACTAGCGTTCCGGTTAGCCTACAGAGCGCTCCGGTTAGCCTACTCGGTTAGCTCTTAATATTCCCTAATCTTTCGTAGTACCAGGGAACCCTGGCATAGTTGTAAACACATGCAGAGAGCCCGGGGAGGAGGGGTACTTCCAGAAAAGTTGGGTGTGGGTNAGGGGGCGGGCTTCAACCAGAAAAGTTGGTTGGGGTTGTGCGGCCCACTTCCCAAAACCCTTACCCTATTTATGACCAAAATACGTGATTTTTGCTACCCTATTTATGACCTTGCCAAAAATTTGATAGCCTATTCATGACCGTTGTGGCTGACACAGTTGCCCTAAACATGAGTTATAAAGGGCTTTTGTTGATGGGCTTATTGACAATGATGAAAAAGTAGCTTCTTCTAAGAAATATACCCAATTCAAGACTAGAGTGCTAAAACCATACCCTATTTAAGACCAAAATGGTCAAAATCGTTACTCTGTTCATGACCAAAACGGCTTAAAAACCCTACCCTTTGGYGCCGCACATACCTATATAGCCCATATAAGAGAGTACCCCCCACCCCAGGTAATATTTGTAATGGTAACGCAATATATTCTTAAAATAATCTCTTTCCGGCAGCCAGCTCCCTGGTGGTGTAGTGGTCATGAGGCTCGCTCATGACCCAAATGACCTGGTATTGAAAACTGTCTTCTTTTTCCTTGTTTAGAGGAAAAAACCTAAGTGTCCGGAGCCATTCCTGTAATTAACGCCATGTCTAAAAAAGGCGCCACCTTGAAAAGCACCACCGAGGTGGCAGTAGACACATTTGGCTAACTTGTTTGCATCCTTGTTGCCATCCAGTTCAGACCACGAGATGATTCATTTGGTAGATTACAATTGTGCTTGATTCGTTACGCGCAACTGAGTGTGCAAACAGAACAATTGTAACCTCCCAATTTTTTTTTAATTTAACAATTTTTTTATTTCTCCATTGTTTACATTGACAATTACAGTTACAAGCATATTTACTAGACGCACTAGCAATAAAAAAAACACGAAACAAATAAATAAACAAAAAATATAATGATAGTAAAACACTACATTATTTTTTCCTCCATGATTTTTTTTCTGTATCATTGTAAACCATCTTATGTTAAGTTGTTTTCTGTAAACAGTGTGCAATGATAAAAACTGAACTGAACTGAACTGAAGAAACTGAAACTACAATAAATAAATAAATAAACAGATACACTAAAAACAAATAGACAAAATAAACAAATGAATAAAGTACAAGACACATGCTGAAAAAACTTTAAATTGATGCTTAGTTAAGAGGAGGCATTATTTTTTCCTATTTTTTCTAGTGCTTACGGGAGCCTGTCATTTTTCTTGGCAATTTTTCTCTCTATGTGACAAACTAATTTGATCTTTCAAAGAAAACTCTTAATGTTTGTTTAGTTTTGTTCAATTTACATTTATATATAAATGATTTAGCTATTCACGTAACCTCCCAAATGAATCATCTCATGATCTGAATTGGGTCTCAACAAGGATGTAAACACGTCAACCGAATCCCTCTATGGGGACCATACTCGCAGAAATAATGGTATCCACTGACCAGCGGTTGGGAAGCGAGCGGCTCAATCGAATCTCTCAGGTCGCCCCTGAGTTTGTTTTCATGATTTGTCATGCTTGCGCAGTAAGGAGCTAAGACTGGAGGTACGAAATTGAAATAAACGTCAGACAGTCTTTCACACGAATTTCTTGTGCATACCAGCTGTTTTAGATTTTAATCTAGACATGTGGCAGTTGGTTCCATAAGAAAGAGTCAGTTCTCTGAAAATGCTGGCCCTATCAACACGTGATACTTACTCCTCGGTCATCCTTGTAAATAGCCAACTTGTCTGCCACTTGCCAGTTAGGATTTTTATATTTAGTCAGATAGATATATTTGTTTCTTTCAGTTTAAGTGCCCGGCTAGCTAGGAATAGCTAAGCGCATTTACTACTATAAATTAAACAAGTCTTTCAAACTCTGTCGATGTGTCTTGGAAAAATCGCTATAAACGTATTACAACCTGCTCTCTCCTCAAAATTAATTATTATTTAAGCCTAATTAATTTCTTCGTATCATATGGGCGATCTAGGAGCACTTCGGGTACTAGAGAAGGTAGTAAATCACAATTTAGAGCACTACTTTGTCCAAAAATGCGGGAAAATCGTCATCAAAAGTAACATGTTTCTTCGCACTCACAGCTGAAAAACCTGTACAACAATACTGAGAAGTACCAAGAGGTGGAGGTGTCAAAGGTCAATTTCACAAATAAATCGGCCAAGCTGTCTGCGGAAGCGAGATTGTGTTTGGTCTTTAAGGGAGGAGATAAGGACTTGATCGAAGACGTGTTTAAATCTAAAGTGGAAAGTGGCAAGCTCGGTGACAGTATAAAAGTCAAGAAAGACAGTGCTGAATTTGAACCTCAAGGTTAGTGATCATTTAAATTTTTAATCTATTTGAGCTTAGAACCTACCACCTCGAAGGCCGGATTTTGTTGGAGCAATTTAACACTAAGATTGTTAATGACTGAAGAACATGAGGAAATCAGATTTCCTTTTCACACGGAGTGTCATGCTCGGATGTACCGAATAGTTTAGAAGACAACGGGACAAACTAAGAACACAATTGGACACGAATGCAAGTTAATACTTTTACACACGACTGTAAGCAAGCCTGCAGATTATTTTACTGACGATACAGGTTTCCACGGTTCATAGCCGTCACCTTTTCAGTTAAAATTGAATGTTCATCATGCATTTTTCAGAGGTCGAGTTTGAGGATTGGGAAGCTGAAAAAGGAGAGTGTAAAGGCAAGTGCGAGGGAGCTGCTGGACCTTTTAAAATCGTGCGCAAATGTAAGGCAAATGCAGGGTTCAGCTGTGATGGCCTTAAGAAGACAGATGAAACAAAAGACTGTACCAAGTATTGCCCTTCAAGAGCAGGTAAGATGAAATAGTTCTACATTATACAGATGAACCTCCCTGTGCGTCTGCGTCTTGTATCCAACTGCCTTCACGAAGCGAACTCTTCTCCAAAAAGCAGGGATTGGGCAGTGGTGAAAACGCTCTAATTTGGCTCGGTTGCAACTACATACAATTCCTCTAAAATACCTTATTTTTGTTAAAATCTGTCACAGCTAATCTAATATATTTAGAAGAATGACAAATTACAGGATATTG